GGTGAGAAGGAGGAGGATGAGGAGGAGGAGGAGGAGGAGGGTGAAAAGAAGGAGGGGGGCACGGCGAAGAGGAGGGTGAAAAAGAGGAGGAGGAGGAGGAGGAAAACGAGGAGGAGGAGGAGGAGGCTGAGGAGGGGGGAGGGGGAGGAGGACCCCATTCCGCCACAGGATGCGGGCCACAGGAGGGGGGGGAGGGGGGGCACAGCGAAGAGGAGGGTGAAAAGGAGGAGGAGGAGGAGGAGAAGGAAAGTGAGGAGGAAAAAGAGGAGGAAAAGGAAGAGGAAAACGAGGAGGAGAGGGGGGAAGAGGGGAAGGAGAAGGGAGGACGAGAGACGAGGAAAGGTGAGAGGAGGGGCAGAGCCTGCGCCAGCGACAGCGTCAGGGGCGGACTTGAAGCAGGAACCCGCTGGTCTGACCAGCAGTCAGACATGCCGATCTGCAGTCAGACCTGCTGACCTGCAGGCAGACCTGCTTTCATGCAGGCAAACCTGCTGGTACATATTGCTTTGGCGCCTCAGTAAGCCCTGCTGGTATGCAGCCAAGCCCGATGATCTAGAGACAGATCCGACGTCTGACGCCTGATCCGCATGTCTGATCCTTCATGAACTGATTTGTTAGTATGGCTCCTGTATCCCACAGAGGGAAGAGGCTGATTGGATGCATAGCGAGCACTCCGCTCCGCCATCTGAGAGCGGCCGCCAGTGTTCTCGAAACTGGAGGACAGCAACTCGCACTGCATCTGGCAGGCCGCCAGGGTATGCAGGAAATCAGTGAGCGTGGCCGCGGCGATGAACTCCGCCGCCGAGGAAGACAGCTTGCCGAGGTAGACAGACGCACAATGCCATAGGTGCCACCCGCCGTCCTGCAGGTCAATGTTCACGGCACAGCCCGCTCCAGCATGGCCTTTGCGACAACTGCCATCGAACGAGCAACCTATTTGCAGCGTCTTGCAACCAGTGGGCAGCCGTCGAGCCGGGAACGGGTAGTCTCGTATGCCGTGGCTTTGCTGTCCGACGCTCGTCCCGCGAGCTCGTCTGCCGTAGCGTTTCCCTCTCGCAGGGTATGACGCAGCCAATCTCCGCCAAGCTCAGACGGGAATGCGGCACCAGAGCACCACATATCGTGCAATCTCCTCATCACCCGCCGTAGCGGGCACCAGAGCTTCGGACTCAGATAATTCCATCGGCCGTTTATCCACTTCACCACCGCTTGGTTATCCCCTTCGAGTCAATTGCAAATACAGGTTGCTTTACCCTGGAAACCCGCCATGGACATATCTTTTCTCTCTCTCCAACAGACAACGTAAGGTGTTTACGACGGCGCACTTCTCCGCTGCTCGTGGGTCTTGCACGCGTGCTGCCTGGACGTTTCCCAGGCTGCTATGTATCGAGTGCCGCTGATATTAGCATCGTCCATGGCTGCCTTGACAAACGCATCGAGAAGTGTCTCCCAACCTTCGCCACAAGCTCGATGCCTCCAGTCGAACCCCACGTACATGCTCAACGCGCCCTCCCACAAGACGACTCTTGTCCATCCAACCCGATGGACATCCGGAGGACCCTGCTCCGACCGGGTTTGTGCAGGAGCGGCTTCATACCCCCGCGTTTTCGCCAATTCGGCAACCCGGGCTTTCCACAAATGGTTACGTGTGCGCCACTCCGAATCTGGCAGAAAGCCATCAGCGAGGGGCAGAACACACACACACACACACACACACAATTGAAATGAACCTGCGGGGTCCTCAGCCCCGAGGCTTCTGGAGACCCCGGCTGCGAGACCGTGCACTTGCGTCAACACGAGGTCCGTGATCAGCCAGTGCCCGCGTTTCACGTACAGACTTCTCGCTGCGCGCGTGACGCGCCCCATGAACTTAGTCCACGATTCTCCTGGTCGCCTCGGTACTCTCACAATCCGACAAAGCATCCCCCCTTTCATCGGGTAGAGGCTCCGCAACATCGTCACGCTGAGGGCCCAAGCCTCGCAGCAGTAGGCTAGGACTGGCACGACATGGATAGCGTAGCGTTGCAGCCTGCAGCGCCGACTTAGAAGTGGCCTGCGCACATACGGATCTGCCCAGAAAGCGCGCCGAGTGCCGAGAGGCGTCTTTCCTGCCCTCGACTGCTGCGGCGGCGGCTCCTTCGAAGTGGAGGGCGAAGCCCAGTTGCACCGTAGTCTCCACCTTCGGCACCACCATGCGCACCTCTGCCTGTTGAACAATCCCATGCCGCACTAGAGTATCGGTCGCGCTCCCGTTCCTGAACTCTTCCGTCGATGTCCAAAGTCTGTGATGACACGAATAAGTGAAGATCGTTTCCAATAGTTCCGCTTCGCCTGCACATGAAATGTGAACATGTCCATCATTCATATGGCGTCCGCATCCGTGCGTGCAAGGAAAGACATGTTGTCCGCCCACACAGCGCGAGTGTATCTCGAGGGCCCAGTGACGACTCCCAGCCTGAGGGTCCAATGACGACTCCCAGCTTGAGCTTGACGCCGAACA